TGGGGCAGCAGAAGTCACTGCGACGCCCGCAGCTGCAGCAGCACAGGCAGCAGCAGCACCCGAAGCTACGGCGAAAGCAGCGCCTGCAGCAGAAGCAGCAACAGCTACAGAAGCAGCAGCAGCAGCAGCAGCAGCAACAGCAGCAATTGCTGTTGTTCCACGCAGCGAAGATGGCTCAGAAGGGGAGATGGGAGCCACTCTGTTTGACCCCCAAAAGGGCCTCTGCACATTCCGGTTCTGGGGGCCCCACGTAGAGGAAGCCTGGGTGAGGGTTTAGGGTTTAGGGTTTAGGGTTTAGGGTTTAGGGTTTAGGGTTTGAGGCGTGGCAAGCGAGCGCGTGACTAGAGGCGTTTGCTGCCGGCAAGAGCCCCAGGTGGTCTTGGGCTGTGCCGAGGAGGGTTCGGGGTTTGGGGCGTGGGGCCGAGGGTTTAGGGTTTAGGGTTTAGGGTTTGGCGCAGGTGGAAGTTGCTGGCAGCAAATTTCCCATGGAGAGAGAGGCAGGTGACCAGTGGTCAGTTTGCCTTTCGGGTGTACGTGGAGCCGCTGCTTATCACTTTGTCTTTTCTTCCAACTGCAACGACTGCTTCCACCAAGAAGGCCATTTGCTGCACAGGCGTGAGCTAGGGTTTAGGGTTTAGGGTTTAGGGTTTAGGGTTTGGGGTTGCGGCTGGGGTTCGCGCGCCCTGGCGCGCAGCCCGCTCGGCCCTGGGACCCACGGGGCAGCAGTGCTCCTGCTGCAGCAGCACGTGCTGCTGCTGCTGCAGCACATGCTGCTGCTGCCGCTGCTGCAGCACCTGCTGCTGCTGCTGCTGCTGCTGCTGCAGGTGACCCCTACGCGCGTTTTTGCGACTTCAACAGCAACGACTGCTTCGTCGTTCTGCCCCCCGCAGCAGCAGCCGCAGCAGTAGCAGCAGCAGCAGGGAAAGAAGCAGCAGCAGCAGCAGCAGCAGCAGCAGCACCTCCAGCCCTGGAGCCGTGGAACAAGTGGATTATATATGAACTTCACCCTTCTACTTTCGTTCAGCCAAAGGAAGGCCAAACGTGAGCAGCGCCAGCTAGGGTTTAGGGTTTAGGGTTTAGGGTTTAGGGTTTAGGGTTTAGGGTTTCGGGCGTGTGCGCAGGGTGTTTGAGGCAATCGGGGAAAAGCTGGACTACATAGCATCTCTGGTGGGTCTGCGGGCCTCGAAAGTTAAGGGTGTAGGGCCTGGGGCCTAGGGCTTAGGGTTTAGGGTTTAGGGTTTAGGGTTTAGGGTTTGCAGGGCTTCAACGCCGTGGAACTAATGCCTGTGCAAGAGTTCGGGGGCCTCTGGGGGTATAACCCTCGCCTGCTAATGGCCCTGCATTCGCCGTACGGAAACCCTGAGGGTTTGCGGGCTTTGGTGGAGTGCTGCCACCGCCGCCGCATCGCGGTGAGCTAGGGTTTAGGGTTTAGGGTTTAGGGTTTAGGGTTTAGGGTTTGCGGGTTGGGGCTGGGCTTTGTCGGGCGCGCGGGGTTCGCGGTTTGCGCGGAGGCCGAACGGCAGCGAGGCGACAGAGGGAACACCAGTTGGTGATTAGGGTTTAGGGTTTAGGGTTTAGGGTTTAGGGTTTAGGGTTTGGGGTTTGGGAGGGGTGCTGGCTTCAGGTGATATTCGACGTGGTGCTAAACCACGGGTCGTCAAAGCTGAACTCTCTCTGGAACTGGGACGGGTACGCTGCTGCTGCTGCTGCTGCTGCTGCTGCTGCTCGTTTTTGCTGCTGCTTTCGCCGATTCTTTTCACAGAGGGTGCAGCAGCAGCAGCAGGAGCTGCAACAAGAGCCGCTGCAGCTGCTGCTGCAGGCCCTGCTGGGCAAGTGATTGCTGCTACAGCAGCAGCAGCAAGAGCAAAGGCAGCAGCACCAGGAGCACAGCAATAGCAGCAGCACCAGCAACAACAGCAGCAGCAGCAGAACGGAGCGCAGCAGCAACCCCAGCTCCAGCAGCAGCAGCAGCAGCAGCAGCAAACGCGTGTCTTGTGCTGCTGCTGCTGCAGCTACGGGCCCCACAACAACGGCGGCATTTACTTTGAAGGCGGGGGAGAATCTGGATGGGGAAGAAAGTTTGCTTTTCATAAACCCCAAGTTCGAAACATGATCAAAAAAGCTGCTGCTGTTTTCCTTGAGGAATACAAGTGAGGCCTGCTGCTGCTGCTGCTGCTGCTGCTGCTGCTGCTGGTTTGGTTGCTGTTTTGGGCGCTGGTTTCGTTGCAGCGGCGATGCAGCTGCTGCTGCGGCGTTTGCTGCTGCTGCTGCTGCTGCTGCTTTTGCTGCTGTCGAAGCTGCAATTGCTGCTGCGCTCTTTTCTGCTGCTGCTGAGGCCTTTGCTGCTGCTGCTGCTTCCATCAGCGCTGCCGTGGCTGCTACTAGACTTGCTGATGGCGCCCTCGTTGCAGCTGTTGCCACCCCGTTGCTGCTGCAGCAACAGCAGCAGCAGCAGCAGCAAGGGTTTGTTTTGT